TCACTCGCATTCCATTGACTCCCAGACGATTTGATCATCTTGTGCTTGCTTGAACACCCCCTCTAGCTTGGACCCCTGGAGAAGAAAGGGAAGGGCACTGTTCTCTTTGGATATTATGGGAATACTTTCCATGCAACTTAAAGTACAAAAAAAAGTCTTGAGTTACACATGCATATTTCCATCAAGTTAGTGAGCTTAACCAAGCAAATGAAGAAAAAACACTGCCATTCTACCTGTGAGAATTACTGTTCAACAGAAATGAGCATGCATAAGCATGGTTCTGACATTTATTTATTCAAAATAAAAACATAGTTCTAATGTCTGTCTACAGATTTATCACTGTTCAAACTTAGAAATATAATGTAAACATTTTTCTATATTATTAGATATATATATACATTGCAATCACCATTTTAAGCCCTCTCTTGCACTTTACCGAAAGAACTTGTAATATATTATTAACACTCATGGATGCTATTTTGATCTTACACAAAATGCTGAGACAAGACACAACATTCTCTGCATGGAATGTTTGGGTGGTGATAGATGGTTATGTCCCATAGAAGATCTTGGAAGCTGCCCGAAAGGATAGCTTGCTGTCATGTATGATCTATTCCTTGTTTACCCAAACACTTCTCAGACATACTAATGAAGCCCACTGTAAGTTTTGTTGTCTTTGCTGTTGACTGTTCCTGCATTTCTTGAGGATTCTCTGGTGTCCAGACCAACTTTTTTGATCATCTTGTTGCCATCAGTTTTCTGGCTGTGGCTAGCATTGTTCTGAGGTTGGTCTCTGGTGGAGACTGTCTGGATCACTTCTTCGGGTGGTGCCTTACACACCACGTCTGCTCCCTGGCTCCAACCAGGACTTTAAAGAGATTTTTTAAAAGGCTCAGAAAGTTTCTTGGATATCAAGCAGCTCTTATAAAAATAACATTTTTATGACTTAAAATGTAAATGAATAAGGAACATGTGGATTAAATTTCCTTTGAAATGCCCAAGGGCTTAAAAAGCCAAAGAGACGAGCACTTGCAAGACGAGCTAAATCAAGTTTTGCCAAAAATAAAACACTTGAAAAATTGTTTGGGATATTTTGCTGATCCCCAGGTGCTCATGGGCTCTCCTTTCTAAATTTGGGAACGACTTAGATTTTCAAATGTAGGTCACCCAATGAAACACACTTCCAACAAGCTCAGTGGGCACTTGGCTCCTGAGTTAAAGAACAGATGTCGAAAGTCACTTTTTGATCATGGCACTTGAACTATATCTACTTCTTCAGCATCTTGCAGCCGCCTCCTCCCACGGTGATCAGACCCTGCCTGTGCAAACAGTGCTCTGGGAGACTCAGACCTTTAGGGAAAGATTAATAGCACCTATCAAAGAAGTCCAAATTAACACTCCTCTCCTGCCATTTGCCCTCATGTTTCCCTGCTTCTATCTCTAGGCATTTCCCATGGAAGCTGAGACCAAGACTTGTGTGAATGATTTATTGAGGAAGGACTCTCAGAAGTCTGGAAGAAGGAAGGCAGGAGGAGAAGCTAAGCAAAACATGGCTTCTGATGAAGTCTAGCCTCGCTGGGCAGTCTTGCCTTCCCTTGAGGGATAACTCAAGGTGTGGCTGACAGCTCCCCAAGGAGGCAGAGCCTCATCTCCAGCGTACTTGGGAGATGGACAGCTACAGTTGCTGCTAAGAACAATCCTGGAGGACCTGTCTCCAGGCCAGAGTGTAACTGGGCCTTTTAGATAGGAGTCAGCCTCCCAACTGCTTTAGATACTATCTGCCTAGAGAGTGGTACAGGAGGCAGACCCAGACAGAGCCTAAACATCATCCCCTGCATCCCACTTTCTCAGGGCCCTGATGATACCATCAGTTTCTCTTCATCTGCTTTCACATAAGCCATCGTTTTCCAGGTTTGCTGTGTTGTTTGCATATTCCTACTACAGTCATGTTGGCCTAAAATTTCTCATCTACTATAGCCTGATTCTTCTTATCCACTTCCCAGCTGAGTTCCGTCTTTAGAATATTCGTAACCCATGTTATCTCACACACTGCTGAATTAAAACCTCCAAACACCACTTTCAAGAAGTTTCAAATCAACTATGATCCTTAAAGGTATAGAATACCTGGGACTTGTAATATTCTCTTTGGAGGCCCATTCCACGCTAACATTGTAACCTTACAAGAGAGCTAACATTTTCATATATAATGTTACGTGATAGCAAATTATAATACAGAAAATCAAATTTTAAGAAAAAATATTGAAAGACTTTGTTAAGGTTTTAGAGTGCCGTATGTCTACAATTGTGAGAGCAGGGCTTGATAGCAGTTAAGTGCTTAGTGGATACTGGCTGGCATTGCTCACTGCTGCTGCTGCAAGCCTCACATCTGGTCTCTGGTTATATTCCATCCCTTGCCAATAGTTGTTTTACACACAGAAGCAGAAGGCTCGTGTTTAAAGTCAGATTATTATATGTCTGCTTTGTGTATATTCCTTCCCATGGTACTTACAAGGAAACCCAGTCTGCACCTTGCTCTGCCCTGTCTCTAATCTCATCTCCAGTGCCCCACATGTGCCTCTAGCATATGGGCTTTCTTCAGTTCCTGTGTGCCCTCACCTTGCTGCCACAAGACCTTAGTCTCTTCTGGAAAGGTCTCCTGCTCCAACACCTTTGCCTGCCTGACTCCATCTTTGGGTCTCATATTAAGCAGCATTTCTCAGAAGCCATTTCTCGACAACTACAGCCATTCTGTCAGCTGTGATTTACTGAGCAACCACTCAGTGCCAAGTACTATTGTACCAGGAACAGGATGAAAATAAGGCAGCAATGGTTTCTGTCACCCACAGCTTTCATAGAGAGAGGATGCTAATATATACATGTACATTTGTATTTGTATGGATGTTTCAACAAAATAAAAGTAAAGGAAAAGAAGTGAACAGAGAGTAATCAGATTTCTTCAAGAATACTGTCTGCATTTGAGCAAAGTTCTGAAATAGATCACCAGTCTCTTGCCATTATGTAATGTGCAAATTGGCTTCTTGTGTTTCCTCCCACTTTAAACAATACAGAACTGGAGGGCTGTGGTCAATATGTTCACCTATCCCTTGATGGAGTCCAAAATGGGGAAAGGGATCGTCAGGCCTGGGGTGGGAAGAAACTTTTTCTCAACAGTGCTACTTTTTTCAGTGAAGGACCTGGTCTAGGAATTCTGGGAGTATATGTATTATATATTAGGCAGACTTTTCTGTCCCTCCTGCCAGATCATAACATGGAGACTTATTATTAATTATGAGAGCTCACCCAATAGCTTAGGCTTGTTTCTAACTAGCTTTTATAACTTAAATTCACCCACACCCATTTTCTATTAATTAATGTGCTGTCACGTGGCTCACGGCTTCTTACTTCATCTCCTACATGTTATGCTTCCTCTGTTTCTCCTTGCAATTCTGCCTTCTTCCCAGCATCCTCTGCCCTGAAAATCTTGCCTAGCTATTTGCCATTTAGCTTTTTATTAAACCAATCACAGTGACATAGCTTCACACGGTGTAAAGGAATATTCCACAACATTTCCCCTTTTGTCTAATAAAAAGCAAAGATTTTTAACTCTAACATAGAACAGTTATCAGGTACTGTCTAAATAGAAAGGAAAGGTATTAACTTTAACAAATGAAACTATACAATTAGAATAATCATCAAGCACAAAGTCCAGTCTATCTGCATTTGGCATATTTAGAGAAAATACTCCATTATCTATCCTATCTTAATCAATTCAGAGTTTATACCTAAACCATGTTTGTTATAACTTGAATAACCACTCTAAAAATATCTTTTTAGACCTGAAAACATTTTTTTCAGATAAACAACTTAAGCTCTTATGTTTTTTAACCTTATGAACTTTATATCTCTGTTGTAAGTTTCTTTTTTGAATTTGGTAACAAGAAAAACTGTAATAATCTCCATCAGTTTTCATTGGAGACCCAAGAAGGATAAAATATTACTTGAGTAAATAGAAAATTCAGAGAAAGCAACTTCAAAAACTAACAAATGATAGACATTTAGCTGCCTGGACAGTCACCCCATGGGTCCTCTGAAATGTTGGGTCATCCATCTTCAGCCTATAGTTCTAGAATATCTGACAGACTTTTCTGTGAAGCAGGAATTTTGAAGAACTATCCTGTCTTGTTTTGGCAAAGTAGAGTAGTCACTTTCCTGTGTGTGCTGCAGAATGTCTGGAAGAGTTTTCTATGAAACAGGAAATTTGAAGGACCATCCTGCCTTATCTTGGCAAAGTTTGATGGTCTTTTTTCTTTGTGTCCTATTTGTCCAGTTTGTACAGCATAATGTCAACAGTCTAAGAGCAGTTTCGCCACATTGAACACAAACTCCTTATGGAGGTTCTTTGATAGCCATCATCTTCTCTGAAGTAAATTGGTGCTGCCAGGAGCAGACATGTCTCATTGCCATGAGAAGCCTCAGGTTATTAAACATCTTAAATGCAATATTCTGTAGGTCTTTGAAATGTTTGAAGACCATTTATCTATCTAAATATGTCTGTTTAACCTTGAAAACATACCTAACATACTACAACTTTGATTGTTATAGGTGGCTAACTACTGACTTGCATTTCTTTATTATCCTAAGTAGTTTTTAATAATAACTAGAAATTTACATTACATTGTTAAATGATCTGCATAGGTACAATACCTTAAACAAGAGTAGAAGCATATGTACAGTATGTTCTAACAAATATAACCTTAAATCTGTATCAATGTACAAAAAATCCATACCAATGTAAAATATTTGAGAATAGTGATTATTCAAAAGTAGACTCAAAGATCCACCCTTTTATCTCATAATTTTTATAGTATATCCCCCCTTTTTTCTCCTCAAGAAGAGATTCCTAAATCTAATCTCCTTTGTTTAGTTTTTTTTTCAAACCATGACCAATAACAATTTGTGACAAACATCCATAGCCCATTGAATGAACAAAAACCACTCACCAACGTCTTGGGAATGTAGGCGTTGTATTCTCTAGACTGCTTCTTGTTGTCTGGGGGCACTGGCATCTTTGTGGGACCCTGAAAAAATTAGAATAATGGTCAAGTCCTGGCTAGAATAGTCTATGAGGCTTGATCATCTCAGTCAGCAGCCTTGAATCTGTTCTGGATGCAGAACTGGGGAAATTGCAACAGAGGCATTCTGAGAGCCGGATCATGTATGCCACCCATTTTCATTGGTGTCTGGTCCCCTTGTTCTGAAAATACATAAACAAATGGCACCTAACATCTGGACATATATTTCCACATAAAACCTGAGAAACCTTTTTAAAAAAGGTTACAAACAGATACACAAAAGGAGCCAAACATGGCCTCTTAGTCCCACAGTTTCTCATGCAGGCAACGCCTCTCTGAACCACTGCCTGCAGTTTTGAGGTGCCAGCATGCCATGAGCTAAATTGTACATTCATGTTTAGGATAGTAATGTCTTGATTAGAATGAAATTCCATCTTTATCTCTTCTGATTATTTTTAATTTGAGTCTATTTCATCATTTATTATGATAGTGATGTCTGCTTGCTTCCTGGTTCCATTTGATAAATTTGTCCATCCTTTTTCTCTAAGGTGGTACCTATCTCTAAAGTTAAGATACATTGATTGTAAGAAAAAAAGATTGCCAGCCTTTGTCTTTTGATTGGGGAATTGATGCATTTATTATGTAAGTTTTGAAAGCTGTTAGTTGATTATGTTGATGAATTTTTTGGGTGGTGGTGTTTGTATGTGATACTTTGTGTTTCTATAGTCTCTTGACTATTCTCAGTCTTCTCTTCAACTTGAAATACTGCTTTCTGTATTTTCTTTAGGTTTAATCTGTTGGCTATAAGTTTCCTTCTGCTGTTTATATCGGATAGTTTTGCTGGGTATAGTAGTACAGGTGTTTGAAGTTGTGGTCCTTTGTGACTTGGAATGAATTGCTTCTGACTTTGAGAGTTCCTATTGTGAAATCAGCCATTATACTGATGGGTTGTCATTTACATGTGACTTGTATTACCTAGAGAATTTAAAAACAGGATACTAAAAAGAGAAGTGCCCTTCCTATGACAGAAGAACCAGTCAAATAAACTAAAAATCATATTTTTAGGGGATGAATAGGTGGCTCTGAAGTTAAGAATGCATCCTGCTCTTGTAGAGGAGCTACATCAGGTAGTTCATCACCAGTTGCACCTCCAGGTATAAAATGCCTCTAACCTCTGCAGGCACTGCAACACACACAGACACTAAAATAAGTCTTTAAAATTTTTTAAAATCATATTTTGAGGAAATACCTTGAGAGAGAGAGCACTTGGAAAATCACCAATGGAGTGATGAAAACCCAGAACAACTCAGAATCAAAAGCCATTTTAGAGGAAAGAACAAAGCACCAAGAGAATTAATATCCAAGATATACACACAAAACAACCCACAGGAAAATATATAATTAAATAAGCAGATTACGCATTTAAGAAAATGGACCTTGAGCCTGAACAGATTGTACTCCAAGGGAGATAAAAGCTAAGAAATATTTTCTAAAATGTTCACCCTCATAATTATGGAAATGCAAATCAAAACAACTTTGATTTATCTTACCCCATTCAGAATGGTGAAGATCAACAAAACAACTGACAGGAAAATGCTGCAAGGGATGCAGGGAAAAAGAAAAACCACCTGGGAAGACCCAGGGCTAGTGATGTCATGGGCCTTGGGAAAGAGTCTACTGCCACATGGCTTGACTAGCATAATTCCTTACTACATTCTCAGTATTATCCTTATACCCACAGATAAGGGTGGCTATCACCCCTCATCAAAGAAACTTCTCTTTACATGGAGACTTACCACAGAAAACCACAACTGGACACAATGCAGAGATTTATGGATTGTGGAAAGCCCAGCCTCAGTGGATACATCCTCAGTATAGTTCCTGCATCTATGGCCCAGGGAACATCATGGGAAAGGGGGCAGATAGATTTCAAGAGACAGAACACCAGGAAGTCTGCTGTGAGATTGTTTCCTAGAAATGGCTGCATAAATATGACCCGAACAATGACAATATCAACAGACATGCTAATGTGTAAGACAAATCTTAAGGGGTTTCCCCCATAGGCAAAGAACTACAAGCAACTCATGACCGCTTAGAGAGGAAGACTTTGCCTTTACCAGGGACAAGCCCCCCATTGTTTATGTAATACAAAGTGGTCAGCCCTGAAACCATATATACACAAACAAACAAAAACATTCAGCAGGATGACTTTAAATATTTGTGCATGACTCTGTGTGTCATGTGCAGCAACACTAAAGAAAAGAATACTGTCAGTTAAGAGAGGGCATGAGAACAAATGAAGGGTTTCGTGATTATATTTCAATTTTAAATGTATAAGAAAAATGTAAAGCCGTGAAATTGCCCAGTGGAGCAAGTACATGTTCCATCTATACACAGAAGCTACAAGACTCTGAGTCCCATTCCTACAAGCCTCTTAGCAATCAGAGTTTGTTTCACATGACTCACGAACATGCTCATTCATACCTTGCATTCTAGGGCCACAAATACCCAAGCCCACCGATACCATCACTATTACTTGTCTCATGGGACCAAGAAAACATCTCTTTCATGTCACATACCTCCAGAGACATGGGAAATTGCCCCCAAACCAAATATTCCTAGACCATGGCCCAGGGGACCTAGGGAAAGTGTTGGCCACAGCCACCAAAAATCTGGGCATTTTGTTCTTGGATAGCAGTTGGTTCTGAACTGAAACATTCCTTCCAGGAGGGAGGAGGCAGTTCATGAGACTAGGAAGTCAATAAAATGTCAAGTGTATGGGAAAGTGGGCACTTTGAAGATTCTCCAGGACCCTTACCCAGTTTTATAGACCACCAGCAGCACTTTCTAATACAGAAATAACGAGCTTGCTGACAAGCAATTTAGGAAACAATTCCACCTGCAAATATAAAATATTTAGAGATGAATTTATGCAAGGAAGTGAAATCTCTGAACAGTGTAACTTGTCAAATACCAATGGAAGAATTGTTGGGAATTTCCCCATGTGTGTTCATAGTTCAGAAGAATTAATATTGTAACAATGTCTGTACAAACAAAAACAATGAATAGATTTAGTGCAATTCTCATCAAAACCCCAATGTTTTTCTCCACAGAATTAAAAGAAAATTATGCTGAAAATCATAGGGAATGAGAAAGATATCACAATAAATAAACCAATTCCAAGGAAAAAGCAAAATAAAACAATAAAGCTGGGGCATCAAAATACTTGCTTTCAGAGCACACTACAAAGCTGTAACAGCAAAAATAGCATGGAACTGGCATAAAACCACAAGACACCATGGAATTGAGAAACTCGAAATAAATCTATACTCATATAGCCAACTGATTATTGACAAATGTACTGAGAACATAGAATGGGAGAAAATGTGTTCTCTTCAATTAATAATGTTGGGTAAATTGGATAGATGTACACAGAAGACTAAAACTGGGGCCATTCTTCTTGCTGTACACAAACATCAATTAAAATTAGTTTGAGACCCAAATCTCTAAGTCTATGAAATTAGTATAAGAAAACACTTCAAGACATTGATGTAGGCAATGACAGTTCAGAGAGGACCCAAGGACACATCAGCAATGAAAACAGACACATGGGACTACATTGGATTGAGAAGTCTGTTAGAGCAAAGGAAATAGCAGAATTAAATGGCAACCTCCAAATGAAGAAAATATTTACAATTTATTCATCTGACAAGAAATCCATATCCAGCATACATAAGGAACCCTGGAAGCTGAACATCAAGAAAACAAGCCAGCTAAAAATTAGCCTAAAGAACTAAATGGAAACTTCTCAAAAGTCATTCGAACAGCTAATAATACATACTAATGATATTGAGATTTTATTTTTAAGAGAAATGCATCAAAGTCTCAATGGGAGAACATCTAGTCCTAGTTTGAATGTCTATTATGAAAAAGACAAAAGCCCTGGTGAATATGCAGACAGAGCTCATGCACTGTTGGTGGGAATGTAAGGTAATATAGACATGGAAAATAATATGGAATCTCCTCCAAGAACTAAAAATATAACTATATGATTCAGCACCTCCACTACTGAGTGTGTATCCAGAAATAACCTAAACATCACACTACTGCACTCCCGTGATTTCTGTAGCACTATTAATGAAAAGATGGACCCAACTAAGATGTCTATCAGTGGATGAGCAGATTGTTTTTAGGTAGTACATGCTCCTGGTATGTCCCCAAAGGGGATCACAGTTAGCATCCTTTACAGCAGTGGTTTTCAACCTGTGGGTCAGGATCCCTTTGGGGGTGTTGTTTATCAGAAATCCTGCATATCAGATACATAAGATCCATAAAAGTAGCAAAGTTACACTTATGAATTAGCAATGAAATAATTTTATGGTTGGGGGTCACCACAACATGAAGAACTGTATTAAAGGGTTGCAGTGTTAGAGAGGCTGAGAACCACTGCCTTATAGACATATGCATGCCTATATTGAAGCATTATCTAGTCCTAGGACATGCAATCAACCTTGGTGTGTCTTGACAGGAAAATTGGTGAAACTCAAGATCATGTTAAGTAAAATAAGTCTGACTGCAAAGGTCAGTATTGCTGTGGAATTTAGAGGGCAAAATAAGGATGTCATAATAGGACTCTAAGGAAAGTGGAAGCAGGCAGATCTTACATTAGTTTTCATTCTTCTAAAGCATGATAGAATAACTCCTGATTAAAATAGTCTGATAAGATTAAAGTGGCTCAAAATTGCCATTTACATAAATATCATGGATAAGATGGAAATGTTTATGACCTTGATTTATTACATCTTATATGTGTATTATATTACCATAATAGAGCATAGAAACTTGTGTAAATATACCTCCATCAATTAAAATATGAAGACATGGGTTTCTGTACGGCTTCTGCTTTTGTTTCCAGATGGGGAAATATCCATTCTACATACACTAAAACAAGCCCCTCTCTCACACTTACATCTTCCCCAGCCCTGCACTCAGAAAGGCATCTCGTT